CATCGACTATCCGGGGTCATGTGCCCTGTAGCTGTCTCGTGATATTGCTGTTGTTGTTGCTAACTGGACTGGAGGAAACGACACATGAAAGTATGTTTGGTTCAAAGTAGAATTAGCAAGTCCTCTCTGTTGCTTGCGTCCGTGCATTCGTGTTGCGTTATTGCTGCATCCTTGACCCTTCGAAGCCGAAGATCATTTGAATGACATATAAGAACTGAGGTCGTACCTCAAGGAAAACAACGCTTCACCGTTACAAAGACCAAATGGTACTGCTTGAGGTCCGTGGAAATATCCTCTGTTTATACTGGGAAGCATACGCGACCCATAAGCACAAAACGAGGAGTTAACTGAGTGTTAAAGCAAGTTCTGTGTTCGGTTCCACTGGGCTTTAAAGGGTTGAACTATGCAGACACACACACGATGGGAAATTCTAACAAATCGTGCAGTTACTCGTCAAAATATGGGAATTCGGATGTACAGACCCGCTAAAAGTTGGATTCATTGTATCGTTGAATTTATTCTCCAAAAACTTACGCCATGAAAGGCAGAAGGACCAACTTTTCCGAGCTGTAGCAGTTACTGTTAGTTGGGTGATCTAACAATTAAAAATTAAGGAAATAATCCAGTAAGAATAACTTTACAAGTATTGTGGCAATTTCTGAAAGGCAAGAGCTTTATGAATATGTAAGTAAATGTGTGTGTATATTTCCTCCACGAATTTAAAATATCAAATATAACTTGAAGATTCAACGCTGTCAGTACCAAAGAATTCTGTCAGTGTACGCGATCCTAGGACAGTTAACCCATTAAAGCATAGTGGTAACTATATGTACCACCTGCTTTAATGATCAGTAACTATGTATTTTGCCCAAAGAGTGTATTTATGGGCTTTGTGTGATTCTCAGAATAAACAGCGATTATACCCATCAATGACATTTATCAGTTTATCTTTGTAATGACAAAGTGTAGTATTTTCTTTGAGATACGATCTGAATTGTCAAATATTATTTAGACGAACTTCGACTTCAAAGAGCTAATTCGGTTAAAATCAGAAATAGCTTCTGCGATGTGTATTTTTATCCTTCCATTTGCAAACCTTTATTAGGGCTAACAGTTTTAAACAGTGTACATTTTTAAACCTTTGCATTGGATTGAGATGAGTGATCCGTGCCATTACCTGAGGGAAAAGGACAGTGTACCCATAGAACGGGGAAGTGGGTTGACATTAGAAGCAATCCGAACGTCGCGGTGAAGAGACAGATATTACTGCCCCTTTTCGGGAACTGAAGTCAATTGTCCAGTCTGTAACTAGCCATTTCACTGACTGACAAAACCAAGCAGTGTGGCTATTGATTGTAACTTTAGAGGAAGGCAGGGGTGACCAACCTTTCCGGATCGAGGACTAAGTTCACTCTTGCTTATCGATTCGTGGGCCGCAAGGTCATAAATTAAGTCAATTGAGCCTATAGGAACTTCGTGGCAATCTATTAAACGTGTTATCAACTTACTATTACAAACAGGTTCACATACCACTCAGTAATTTTCTCTTATAAAATCAATATTTATAGACATATTTAAACCATTTTTATTAGAGTAAAATCTGAATATCAGGTTTAATTATAGCTGTAGCAATTCGTTTACATCCCTCTAAGTGTTTAATGTAAGACACATCATTGTTCTTGATTTCTTAACTGGGCAGGAAGGACGGAATGGTAACTTTGAGACGAGAAAAAGATCTGTTTGGGGCATCCGGTAATTGTTAGGAGTATTTCAAACGCTAGCAAATACGCTGAGTTAACTTGCTCGGTTTATTGTCCTGATGTCGTACTGCATTATCAAAGAATGTGTTGCTCACGGAGAAAGCGAACTTTTCGTTGTGTTGACTTGGCCACCTGCGTCCATTCTTTGCAGCCACAGTCGAGTCGTCGGTCTACCAGACCGATAACAGCGCACTGGAAAGTTTACACTTTCTACGGGACATGTAAACTATGTAACAACCATTCCTTAGTTTCGACGCGATGATGATGCATGAAACAAAACTTTTTTTCTTCGAGGTACTTTAGACTTATTAGAGTCAGTTCTCTGTCCTGTTGATATATCTGGCTCCAGGCTAAAAGGCTATCCTAATTACTACAAACTCAAGAAACAAAAAAAGAAAGTTTTGGGAAGTCGGTACAAATTAAATTTATTAATTTTCTAAAAGAGTTACACGATATGATGTAATATTTATATAATTCGTGTACGATTTCGTGAAGGACTTGGTTCGGAAATTGAATTTATCTGCTTCCTGTCCTAACTGCTCTCAAACACAAAGCAAGTTTCTCTTGCAAAGGTCATCGTCCTAGCCTGTGAACGATACCAAGAGGCCGCTTTGTGAAGCTACGAGGTAATCTTCATCGAGTGTTCCCATGCACTCGTAAATGTTAATCACTAAATATGACATGTTAAGGGGACTTCACAAAACAATAATTGACCTAACTATAAATTACATGTTCAATAAATAATAGCCTAATGTCAAATTCAGAAGAATAATTATAAGAAATCATCTCATAAGGTGAATACATTCATCGGCAAAAATGGGATGACAGCGTCAGCCTAAAATTAAAAACATTGAGACTATGGTCGGAAGCCATAACAAGTAGAATATTCACAGACAGTAAAATAATACAAGCTCAATTGTCTCGGATGATCAATGTCATATGAAGAAGAACAAATAATAATAGTTAAGTGTCTAAAAGTAGATGAGAGGGTTATTGGATGTTGAACAAATTGTGTGTTGAGATGTGGACTGAATTGGAATTTTCTGCCCTAGGATAAGGCCCGGTGACGGGCTGTTGTAAATGTGGTAATAAACCTTCCGGTTCAGATAAGTTACGAGAAATTTCTTGATGAAATGAGAACGTCCTGTGACTGATTTCGAATGTAGTTTTCATATCATCTTCCCCGTAAATCTGGATAACACAAAGAATTTCCTTAACCTTGCCTGTCATATCACACGAAATAAAAATCTTCAAAATAACCTGATGTTCATACAATTGATGTAAAGCTTCCGGTGAGATTGCTTTGTGTTTTGACATATTTATGAGACATTTTTAACATTTTAATTTTTGACTGATGTGTTTTAACGGTTCCATAAATAAATACTCCAATCTCGATGTTAATACTGATTGTGTTCAGCCATGAGTTTTTGGAAGCTACTTGTCACACTTTTCAATAAAATGCACTGTTCTGGAACAATGGGTCTTTGGACGCAATGGCGAGAGATCGTAGTTTCACTTTGATTTCTTAGGTTATCAGTAATATTTTACACAACTTTTATTTATCCCATGCTCACCTTACCGGTAAAATAAACCTTAGCGTTTCGGTAATGAATTCCTTCATCACATATATCCTTACAGTCAGTCGTTATTGTTATCACTCACATTGTTTTATATGTTATTATGTAGTCTAATCCGACCTAAATTAATTAGCATTACGAGCAACGAAAGAAAATACAGAGGGAGCGATTCCTGGAGCCCTGAAATGGGATTTTCTACTCAGTCCATGAAACGGAAGAAGAAGAAGTAGCCTACTTGTAAAACTTCCTTACCCATTAGTTTTGTGGATAACTACGAGACTTAATTGCGCCCGTATAATTTTATCGACCTAGGTATAGAGACAAGGTTCATTCGAGCGATTAAAATCGATCTTAGAGAAATAGAGTGTGACGATGTGGACTGCATTTATCTGGCTAATGGTACAAATGACGAATGTAAGTTGGTAGTTCTTCAAGAACTTTGCTCCCTGGAATTATTTTAATGCAGATGACACAAAACAGGGCGCAGATAAACTAGAACTGCATTACTTGATGCATTTTTCTTTGAATATTATTACTGCCCACCGCATTGCTGAAAATTTGTGTCAACAATAGAGTCTACTACATTAACACAAAAATTCACTAATAATACAATTTATATCTTTTTGTAGTATTCTGCGACTTCTGATTATTACTTTTTTATCACATGTTCCCACCCTGAAATTCTAGTCGTACTTTTTATTCCCACATTAATATAGTTCCCTAATTCTTGTAGCTGATTTTTGTAGTTATGGTCTACTTATTTTATAAGCACATAAAGTACAAGATGCACTTTTAGTATTGATGCAAACATTTTTAAATAGGTGGTTATTGCTTGATATATTCATCTATTTATTCTTAACACATTTAACGAAAATGTTTCAAATACATAGGTTATGCAGTGTCTAAATGGAGAAGAGATGATTATTGAAGTGACTCAGTTGCATCCTATTATACCTCTTCTTTGACGTAGGCCTCCTGCCTTCCTCCAATGGATTTACAGCCAGAAACGTTAAGGGTAACTGACCTTCGTTTATGACAATTTAATAAAAGTATTGATCTAAAAAGAGAAGAAAACAGCAATCAATGGAATATATTTTCAGAGGAAAGTACTAATAATATTCTGGATTAAACACTTTTCGCCCAACAACATCATTCGATCGCCCTCAGTTTTATAGAAAATTTAACATAATTACTAAAGGTGGCCTTTGCTTTGCATCTCAACGGTCCTCATTCACAGTTCATTATTTTATCATTATTCAATAAGATACGTCAGCGATGCTTACTTAACCTTTGCTCTGGAAGTCATTACAACATACATTCCACACGTTCGTTACAAATTAGATCAGTTGGTACACCTACCTTTAGACGTACACCACTAGATGGCAACAGTTTTCGAGAATCATTCGATTGCAATTATTCTCGTCTATTGATCGTTTCACACTTCACTTCAGTGAACATCTGTGTGATTATCTTGTATTAAGTAATACGCATTTATAATGAAAGAAATACTCTGTAACTTTTGATTTTTACGTGTTTAATATGTTGCTACTTTATTGTACACTTTTGTAATATAAATTAATTCGCGTGATTATTTGGCGCCAATTCGTTCGAATTTCTGACCAATAAGATTCAGGTATTATGAAACGTACGAAATCAACCTCTAGAGAAACTAGAAGAAAGGCAAGTGCTGGTATGACGCAGGAAAATTTAATATCAGTGCTGAGTAGACACTGAGGTGAACAGCTTGTGTTATGAGCGCGGTGTTCGAGTGTTTGAAGTGTGTGTATTGTGAACGTGTGTAGTTTTGTTACTTGAACAGCCTACGTTGTGTTTTGTTCATTATTATTATAAGAAGACGCATTGAAAATTATTTCTGTTTATAAAAATTTGATTCTGTCTACTTTATTTAAGATCAGTCTTGTAAGGAATCTTTAAGTGAATCTTGTTGAGGAAGTTTTAATATATTCAGTGACAATGAAGTTGAGTGTAATTTCTGCAATAGTACTGATTGGTAAGATTGCACAAGATTACTCGTTACTTGTGATACTATACTTCACACATACATTTTTAAGCTCATAGTGACAGATATCAGTTGCCAGTATCATTCTCAGCAGTAACTTCTGGAGTTCAAATATAAAACAATATTCAGTAGTAAGCTCGAATAAACAACTTTCAGCTGTCGAATAAACATCATTAAAACTACATGAAAATCTGCTCGAATTACCTGCCTTTTAAATATGACGAATACAGTTTTAATTTTGTATTAAGCCCTGTGGTTATTTCAGCTGCGAATTTTCTGTATATTTTCTAGTTTTTACCTCACAGTGGCTTGTGTTTCCACAAAGGCACTTAATACATGTCAACATGGTATGGAATAATCCAATTTCTTACATATTAGGATCAAAATTTAGATTTTATTTTACTAGTTTCAGAATGCAATATAGCTTAACCTTTGCCAAGGAGGCAATGCTAAAAATAGCAGTAATACCTATTGCTTATAGGATCACAGAAACCATTAAAATTCCAATGTGAGTTCAGTTCAGGTTACAGCTTGCTACTATATCTGACTGTTTCAGGTTTCAGTTACAGTTATTGTATTAACATACATCGGTCTAGCCTACCTAACTCCATCTGCCTAATTCTTTCGCTTATTCATGTCTGAATTCCTTAACACAGCCTCTCTTTTATTTCATGGCGTAGGCTTTGTGGCATATGCCTTTCTTCTTCTTCCTCATGTTAAAAAAGAGAGTGAAACAAAAAGCCATGTTAGACACTCCAGAAGTTTATACTTTCGATATTTATTTTGGAGAGTGAAAATGTATTTCATATGCATCATGATTGCAGTGAATTGTTTTAAGATAGGCTAAAATCTGTTCTGCATGAAGGGATTGATGAAAATCACAAACCTTTTGAGGTATCATGAACTTGACAAATATGAAACTGTGGTGAGAGAAGCAAGTGGACTTTTAATGGAGAAATCTAAAACATTTTTCAATTGAAATGTGCTCTGTGGATGGTAGAAAGCTGTCCCACTATATGCCATGTAGGCTCTTGGTGGAAGAGGTGATATAGCTCCTACTCATTCTTAACCCCCACTAGTTGGAGTTGAGTGGTCATTGTCACGCCCCAGCTACACTTTACCCCTGGGAAAGGACCCCAGTACCCATTGAACAAGAGGCTGGGTGGGCTGCAGAGCCAGTCTGGACACAGAGGCCAAAGGAAAAATCCTCTGCCTCTGTCGGGGATCAAACCCTGGTTGTCCTATCTGTATCTATTCACTGAGCTACCCTGATGGCAGCGTAAGAAATATGTTTATGCTTATTTATTGGCATTTTGAAGAAACATGAGTTCAGTAATTTCCATTAATGATGATTGTAATGACAGTTAGAAAGCCTTCTGATATTTGTCTGTACATGCTGTTTATTATCAGGCAGTATATGCACCTGTGAAGTATCTTTATTAATCAGCATGGTTGTGCTATAACTCAGACAGTCATATGGGCTTCTTATGATAAGCCTCAGGCTCATGTGCAGGGTACTCAATGTGGAATTTATGGTGGACAGAGTGGTGTTAGTGTAGGCTTCTTTTTCCTAGTTCTTCAGTTTCTCCCTCTTAGTATTATTCCATCATTGTGTTACATCCAGTTGTATCATATGGAGGATGGGCTCGTTAGCAGCAATTCCTTTTTAACAGGAACAGTAACGTATGTAACATACTGGTAGAAGGTAATTATTGGTCAATAATGGTATTCACATTTGAAACTACAGTAAGAATCAGTCATATCTTTGACTTTATTATATATTTTTATATTAATTTCTTCTGGCTTCATGAAATTCATATAAATATTATGCATTTTATGGGATTTTGCAGTTTTATGTTCTGTAAATTTCATTTTTCCATGGTATTCACTTACTGGCTAGTGTGTTAAGAATTATCACAGTGATGTAGATGTAGGGTAGGCAGTGTTTAAAATGATACAATTTTGTACATCTAGCATCGTGTCATTGTTGATCACTGGCAGGATGTTGAGTTATAGGTGCCAATAGCAAATTTATCAGGTACTGTGTGGAAAGGTTGTTTAATGTTTTAAATTTTGTTATGTCATGTGATTCTAACAGTCAGTGAGTGGTCATGGAGGATTTTGGACTCACAGACTTTATCCAGTTATGACTTAGAATTCTTAGATTTCAGAGTTTGGTCTTACTGTAATGAAGAACATGAATTAGAACTGCCATACTTTATTCAGTACAACTGAATGTCGTGGTCAAGTGGTTAAAATGCTTGCTTCATATTTGGGAAGTCCTGGGTTCAAATGTTGGCCAGGAAACCGCTATCCTGACTGAGGTGTTTGTGGTTTTCCTCAGTCTCTCCAGACAAATGCTGGGATAGTACCTAAAATTAGGTCATGACCACTTCCTTTCACATCCTTCCCAAAAAATAATCACTATTATCCTTTGATTTGATGCTATATAGTTTGAGCTACTGAAAAAATGTACTTAAATAAACTATAAATAAATAATATATTCATCACAGTGGGCAATTTTTGGTAATTCAGATGTATAACTTACAACAGCTTCATCTAGAACCTGAGAACATTGACTTCATGTAATATACTTGAATGATTACGCACCACAGTTCACTGTATGGTTAATGTTCTTCACCCACTCTTCATTTATAATTTATCAATAAACTTGTAACTTTGTTCCTCAATAAATCCTTATTATATCTCTAAGTCATTTAATATACCTTACTTAGTTATTGATCGGTGAGGTCTTATTTCTGTACTAACAAAAGTGTGGTGGCATTCTGAAGTTTCTTCTCATTAAGAAGATAATTTCCTTCATAGAGACAGATACCCCATATCATGTACACTTAAGGCATTTTATAGAAAATCTTTTGGATACAGAGCTGATTATGTTATAGGTTCACAAACTATTTTCATAATTTATCTGTCATAAAAATCTAAAATAAAAGTATGAAAACCTCTGGCATTTTAGTAAAGACATATTTATCAGGAGATCCCAGGTTTATGATCAGCTGTTGCATTTGTGATGGGGTCATACGAGGTGCGATCGGAAAGTTTCAAGACTGTGTCAATAGAGGGCGAACCGGATGTAGTACGAGCTTCTGCCTTTAGGGGGTGCGGCCTACATTCATAGTGAATCAGTGTGCCAGCCGGCATCATCGAATTAGCATTTGTTTCTTAGTTACGGGCGTTTTGGTAGGTCATTACACCGACCCTCCTGCGATTTCGGAATGGCGGATTTTCATGAACAAA